GAATTTTCATTCTGTGTTGTATTGACTTCTAACAGTTTATTGAAAATGAGATTTGAGAAAGTCTGACTCTCACCCGACAGGCTAATCAGTCAATTGCTAATAGACCTGGGATGCTCCGCAGCCACCAGCTAATAGATTTTCTATTGTTGTTCCCTCCTTGTTGATCAGATAATCTGTTTCGGTAGTTGAGCTGAGGCATGTACTTCTGGGAGCATCAAGACCCAAAAATTCCCTTATACAAAGTTTCCTTGGCACAACAATTTCACCTGCTGCAGCCCACCTTGTGGCCAGAGCTCAAGTGATGTCAGGGTACGGCTAAAACTTTTCTCTGTAAGGAAGCTGAATTTTAGAGAGCTCCCTAAAAGCCTGTAATGTGCCATGAAATATGTGAATATTAAAAATGGACCATCACAGATGGACATTATTAACAAATGAGTTAATGCCGGCGAAGCATGAAAGGAAAGTAAAAACATAGTGGATGATATTGTTTCTCTGTAAGAATTAGACTCTAAAAATAAGGCTTTGAGTTAATCTTGCGTATTGCTGCACACTGTGGGTCCATCCAGGAAACTCTCCCTCCTTGCCTCTGCTAGGGCTGCTCTTGGAATCGAATCAAGGTGAAAGATATCACCAAAATTCTGCATCAGAAAAGAAATCTGACTGTAACAAACATGTGGGCTCTGTAGATCTCATATGAGGGAGTGAAAGTGCTTGGAGTTCTGTAATGAGCACCCAGCTCTGTTTCTACACAGAGCTTAGAGAACTGTGTTTAACCAGGGTCAGATGTCAGCACCTCATCCTTTCTTATGTGTAAGCTTAATGAGCCAATAGAGTATTCCTATTGTGGGGAAGGAATTTTTTTTCCAAAATATATAGGAGTAAACAGGAAAAAAAAAATGTATTTGTGCCTGTGGATTGTTTTGTGTACTGAGCATCCCCACCCACCCCAGCGTGGGGGCAATTTTCATTTTCAGAAATTTTAGCTGACTTTAGTGCACTGCTGGGATGGGGACAGACATGGACACGTGCAGCCTCTCCTACCCTCCTCCCACCCAGGGAAATACTTTTTTCATAGTAATATGTGAACAAATTACTTATTCCTATCAATGACAAGGTGTATTTTTTAAGGATAATTCCCAAGGAGTGTATTTAAAAGAGGAAAAGTACTACCTTTCTGGTCAATTTTTCACTTCCAGAGCTGAAGAAGTCACTTTTACAGAAAGTGGAAGACCTGGGAGTTCTGATGCAGTGATACTTGCAGCATCAGAAATGGTTTATTGAAAGATACTTGTGCCAGAAACCTGAGGTTTAGAAACTCAGCAGAGTCTTGAAATGGAGTTTCCTTTGTTGCCACCTTGTTTTGGCTGTTTGAGCCCTGAAGGTCTGGGCCGTTAGACCACTGAGGCTTTGGTGTTCTCTGTAACCCCTTCATTGCAATAACAGAACCCTGCCCTTGATTTGAGTGGTGAGCTTTTAAAATTGAAGTGAAATTATAAACGGTGCTGACTTGGTTAAAATCTCTATTTCTTTTTACCATCAAGCCATGAAGCACAATGGCTCATGTGCAGGTCGGGGATCGGGGTTTGAGCCACGTGGTGCAGTCAGGCGTGAGATGAGAGCGATTCCATCGCCGGTGTCTTGCTTCAAAAGGGGGAGAAAATAAACTGATCCCAGTAGGTTTGCCTGGAGAAAGATAATTGATAAATGGAAAATAAGTAGCAAAAGCTGCTAGGGATGTTGGGGTTGTTGGGGGAGGGAAGAGTTTTCTGGGTAAGTGATGGCTTAAATGAGCTCACAAATGCTTTTTCTTACTTGAAGTTCCCAGTTTCTGCTGGCTTAAGCTCTAAGTGCATAATGAGGGAAAGATCTTTAGCTGATAATGTCGTTCATCGGAGTCTGTTAAGCGGCCAGCCAAAACATTTAAATTGTATTGAAAGATGAAGGACTGGACAACAGAAACCAGAAACTGCCCTGAAGGAATGACCCTGATTTAACAATTCCTTTTTTATCTCATTATCCGTTTTTAAAATCACAGTTTTCACGCTATACACTTTCGGAAGAACTCCTGGGTCTAAGTTTCTCTTGAATTTTTACTTCTGGGAGCATCAAGACCCAAAAATTCCCTTATACAAAGTTTCCTTGGCACAACAATTTCACCTGCTGCAGCCCACCTTGTGGCCAGAGCTCAAGTGATGTCAGGGTACGGCTAAAACTTTTCTCTGTAAGGAAGCTGAATTTTAGAGAGCTCCCTAAAAGCCTGTAATGTGCCATGAAATATGTGAATATTAAAAATGGACCATCACAGATGGACATTATTAACAAATGAGTTAATGCCGGCGAAGCATGAAAGGAAAGTAAAAACATAGTGGATGATATTGTTTCTCTGTAAGAATTAGACTCTAAAAATAAGGCTTTGAGTTAATCTTGCGTATTGCTGCACACTGTGGGTCCATCCAGGAAACTCTCCCTCCTTGCCTCTGCTAGGGCTGCTCTTGGAATCGAATCAAGGTGAAAGATATCACCAAAATTCTGCATCAAAAAAGAAATCTGACTGTAACAAACATGTGGGCTCTGTAGATCTCATATGAGGGAGTGAAAGTGCTTGGAGTTCTGTAATGAGCACCCAGCTCTGTTTCTACACAGAGCTTAGAGAACTGTGTTTAACCAGGGTCAGATGTCAGCACCTCATCCTTTCTTATGTGTAAGCTTAATGAGCCAATAGAGTATTCCTATTGTGGGGAAGGAATTTTTTTTCCAAAATATATAGGAGTAAACAGGAAAAAAAAAATGTATTTGTGCCTGTGGATTGTTTTGTGTACTGCACATCCCCACCCACCCCAGCGTGGGGGCAATTTTCATTTTCAGAAATTCTAGCTGACTTTGGTGCACTGCTGGGATGGGACAGACACGGACACATGCAGCCTCTCCTAACCTCCTCTCACCCAGGGAATTACTTTTTTCATAGTAATATGTGAACAAATTACTTATTCCTATCAATGACAAGGTGTATTTTTTAAGGATAATTCCCAAGGAGTGTATTTAAAAGAGGAAAAGTACTACCTTTCTGGTCAATTTTTCACTTCTTTTCCAGAGCTGAAGAAGTCACTTTTAGAGAAAGTGGAAGACCTGGGAGTTCTGATGCAGTGATACGTGCAGCATCAGAAATGGTTTATTGAAAGATACTTGTGCCAGAAACCTGAGGTTTAGAAACTCAGCAGAGTCTTGAAATGGAGTTTCCTTTGTTGCCACCTTGTTTTGGCTGTTTGAGCCCTGAAGGTCTGGGCCGTTAGACCACTGAGGCTTTGGTGTTCTCTGTAACCCCTTCATTGCAATAACAGAACCCTGCCCTTGATTTGAGTGGTGAGCTTTTAAAATTGAAGTGAAATTATAAACGGTGCTGACTTGGTTAAAATCTCTATTTCTTTTTACCATCAAGACATGAAGCACATTGGCTCATGTGCAGGTCGGGGATCGGAGTTTGAGCCACGTGGTGCAGTCAGGCGTGAGATGAGAGCGATTCCATCGCCGGTGTCTTGCTTCAAAAGGGGGAGAAAATAAACTGATCCCAGTAGGTTTGCCTGGAGAAAGATAATTGATAAATGGAAAATAAGTAGCAAAAGCTGCTAGGGATGTTGGGGTTGTTGGGGGAGGGAAGAGTTTTCTGGGTAAGTGATGGCTTAAATGAGCTCACAAATGCTTTTTCTTACTTGAAGTTCCCAGTTTCTGCTGGCTTAAGCTCTAAGTGCATAATGAGAGAAAGATCTTTAGCTGATAATGTCGTTCATCGGAGTCTGTTAAGCGGCCAGCCAAAACATTTAAATTGTATTGAAAGATGAAGGACTGGACAACAGAAACCAGAAACTGCCCTGAAGGAATGACCCTGATTTAACAATTCCTTTTTTATCTCATTATCCGTTTTTAAAATCACAGTTTTCACGCTATACACTTTCGGAAGAACTCCTGGGTCTAAGTTTCTCTTGAATTTTGATAGTTAGTTTGGTACTTTGCTAGGAGATTTAACCCCTTGAGAGCCCAGATGTACTCTACGTGTGTAAGGTATGGTCCTCAACTTCTTCAGATTGTGGTGTTCCCCGAGTAGTGCTTAATCTGTTACAGACCTTTTGGGAAAATAGGTTTTGCTGTTTTGTCCAAACACTGTCAACCTCCCTTCTGAGTGCTCAGTATTATATTTCCAAATTTCACATGTTATTGGACAAATATATATATACTTGTGTGTGTAAATAGGTGTGTAAGGTATGGTCCTCAACTTCTTCGATCGTGGCGTTCCCCCAGTAGTGCTTAATCTGTTACAGACCTTTTGGGAAAATAGGTTTTGCTGTTTTGTCCAAACACTGTCAACCTCCCTTCTGAGTGCTCAGTATTATATTTCCAAATTTCACATGTTATTGGACAAATATATATATACTTGTGTGTGTAAATATATATATGTATAACTAAAAGAAACTTGGGTGGAGGTAGAAATTCAAATAAAATGTGATGCAAAAGACTCTGAAAGCTAGAAATCAGGGCAATTAATTCCTTTTTCTTTTCACAGATCTTCTGTTTTACATCAGCCATCGTCATTTTCTTGAGAATCTTCTGCCCAAAAGTTTATTGGATAAGTATGAGGTTAGACCTTGTCTTAAGTGCCGTTTCAGGCTGTAGAATTGCCCAGTGAAGATACCTTCTAAGAACTCAGTCAGGAATGAATTTGGATCCTTGATACTATGGTGTCTGCTGCTAAGGGCAGGAGATTTCATCATTCCCAACCGCAGCCAGGAATTACTTGATTCTGAGATATACTGTTTTTAAAACATGTCTCAGTTTCCATTTGAAGTAAAAGAGAAAAAAGGTTAAAAAAGCCCCCAGTGACAGGAACACTGGAGCATCACATTGCTTATCAAAGGCTCTAGAAGATAGTTTTGTCTTGAGGAGCACCCTCAAGACAACCAACTTTTTGTCACCCCTTTCAGTGAATCTTCTTCCTCTTCCCCTTTCAGACGCCAGCCAGCCTCATGGGTTTGGTTACTCCTGGGACAGCAAAGTGGGAATCAGCATGCAAAAAAAGAGCAGTGAAGAAGGCAGAGTAGAGGTAGGAGTTTGGAGTGTGCATCTAAGCCTCCACTTGAGGATTTTGGCCAGTAATGTCTCTTGAGAGGGGAGCAGTTGGCCACCAGGACCCTTCAGCACACCCTTCTTGGTGGACACAATGAGCTGAGCCCTTCCCTCCGCCTCTCCGAGGAGCCGAACTCCAGCACTTGTACTTGGTAGTGATTTGAAGCAAAAAATCAAACCCCTGATTGGATTGCAATTATCTGAACTGTGTCCTGGTGGGAAAGTGGATGTATGTGTGGAATAAAAAGGATTAGTGGTAACACTCTGCAGAAAGAGATCATGGAGCTAAAACCACCCAAGCTGTACGTGACTCTCTCCAAGGCGGGGAGAAAAGCTCCCCTTCTCCTTTGGGGGGTCGGGCGCAATCTGCCCCTCTGTGGTCTGAGTCAGTAACAATTAGCAATTTGTAATAGCTGGGGGGTTTTGAGAGGATAATCCCTGGTTAAAAACAAACAAAAGCTGGAAGGAGTCCTGTATTTTGTGATAGCTTTCCCAGCAGAGAGCAAGTTTGTAAAAGAGAAACTGCATATACTGTACCCTTTTATTTGTGATGTGTTTTCTTCGGGCACTTGTCTCACCTGATTTGGTGATTTCTGAGCATCTTTCAATGCTGGAATGGTGCAATTCTTACTTCATTTTGAAAACTAAATCAAAATGTGTTTTGTAGAACAACGTGGTATGGATTCTGACAACATTGAATGCCCTTTCTAATGAAAGAGCATTGAAACTTAGAGATTCCCAAAGACAGTGTATGTTTTCAGCTCTAATGAAAGAGCATTGAAACTTGGTAAGAGATTCCCAAAGACAGTGTATGTTTTCAGTCTGGGAGTCACCCCAGTGATGAGCCATGTTGTATGACTACTTCCCAAAAGGCCAAGTTGCCTGTTGTTCTTTCATTTTTCCTGGCCAAATGTCTTAGCACCCACCTGCTTGTTTCTCTGTACAAGAAGCTGGGTCTTGCAAGGCTTGCTGAAATTCTTGGCTTGCTCTTTGGGAGCTTGATGTTTTGGAAACCACGATGGATTTCTAAGGAATTCTCATTGACAAAAGTCTGTCCATGGCAAGCTTCCATAAGAAACAGTATGAGTGAGGTAAACTGCTGAGGGAATATTCTCTGGATCTCTTTGGAGGTCTTCAAATATACTTGTAACAGTGAAATGGGAAAGATTTATGTTCTCTAGACCACATACAAGCAGCTTCTGATGAAATCATCCCTCTGGCTGACGGGGGTTTAAAAGAAAAGGTCAGTGAAGCTGCTGATGGGGCTCAGAGAGCGGAGCTGGGCAGGTTGGGCAGGAGGGGCCGGGTGCTGATGTAGGTCCATCCTTCTCCTCCGGGGAGCTCAGAAAGCGTTGGCCCTTGGGAGCCCTGGTTTTAGGTTTCATCTCTCTGGCTGGGAAACCAGGAAACTATTATTTCATTAATCATCTCTCCAAATATGCCTGCGTATTATATGGGCTCCATTGTTTATAAAAGGAAATTATCCGTTTAATGAGTACTAGCAAAAGAAGAGGAGAGGGGAGAGAAACCCACTCCTGCATCCATTAAGACAGATTTCCTCGCAGAGAAAAGCCTTCCGTTTCCCATAATGAATTCCTCTGCAAATAGAAGCACACACTAAGTGCTCCTGCTATGCTAGTGATGGAACACAGGGCATATGCATAGTTTATGTGTATTAAAATAATTGTACAACAGGTGTAAAATATTATTAGATGCCACTGACATAAATGTGTAGGTTTTGTAAAACTGTGGGGCAAGTTTAGCATGGAATATATTAGCTCGAATTCCTTTGTTAATTTGGTGAAAGGCCCCACAATGCCCAAGGAATCCCTTTATTCCTGTGACATTCTTGCTCCTGTTCCCGCTAACTATTTCTTTAATGTAGTTATTTCTGAGATCCGTTAATACAAACCTAGTTATGGACATGGTAGACCTTTGACAGTGTAAGGCAGCAAGATGTGAAAAGGCAAATCGTTTAAAGGGTTCTGTGTTACCTTGTGGTGGGGGAGAGGCTGTCAGGCTGTTTGCTGGTGACAGCAGGTTTCTGATGAGTGTAATGGGAAAGGGCAGCAGTGCTAAATGGGTAGGCAAAAAGAAATTTTACAGCAGACTACAGCACTTAGGCTCTCATAGACAAATTAACTGTAGAAAAGGGAGACCAGCTTTCTTAGACACAAGGCCACTAATTCAAACAGTAAACTGGAGCCATGGCATTGACTTCTACATATGCTTTGAAAATGTAGAGCCGAAGCAACCAATTAGCACATCTGACTGTTGTTGAAATATACCATTTGCTTGCTCTCGGCATCTGTTACAGTTCCCTTGAAAAGTCACTAACAGCAGGATCCAAAATCCTTCTTGGAGAAAGATGGGGCAGAGGGATAAAAGATGTAAGCGAGAAAAACAAGAAAGGTGGAACTGGTGTGAACAACAGCTCCATTTATATCTGTGCACGATTTGTCATCTTTCTAAAATTGTTCCGTTGCATTTGCCTGTTTGCAGGGTACAAACTGTTTTCTTCCTGGGCCTCAGTGAGCAGAAGCCAAGCTTTGGCAGGAAGCTGTCTTGAAATTTGGTACAGCCTATTGCAGCTGGCCTGGATGTGTGGCTTATATACCTCCTGCACGGTCACCTGGGGGTAAAAAAGAAACAAAGAATGAATCAACACCTGTGTTGTGTCATCATAATGTCCCATTTGGTGGCCCCATGAGCTCCATGGCTGTATTAGTATGAAAATACAAGATTTGGCCATGGTTGTGGGATACAATCTCAAGTGTTCTCATCTGGTTCCCAACTTCCGCTCTTTAAAAATATAGTTCCTTCGATCATAGGTCACTGTTTCGTTGGAGAGACTTTGGGGAAACTTCATTCTCAGTAGGCATTCCATTTTCAGGCAGAGTTTCTCTCCTGAAATCTGGTGGAGGGGCAGGGTAAATTTAGTAATTCCAGTTTCCACCTTTGAATTTGTGATAAAATGCAGCACTCGGCTTTTTCTTCGTTAACTTTTGCAGTGCTATAATGCTGCTCTCCCAACAGAGGGTAAAAAAAGTTGCTTTAGAGGAGGAAGAGAGACATTGGCTTTCACAGGAACTTCAGCACTTGTGCTTTTCAGATTTTTCAGATTGCTCTGGTCCAGGGGAGACTGAGCTAAGGATGATGGTGACCTGAGGAGGACCAGAGTGTAGCGATGGGGTTGATAACTGCATATCAGTACTGAGTGATATGCAAACAGCTGCCGGGGAAAGGAAGGTTCCTGGGGGTTTCATAGACCTTACAAGCCATTCACACGCATGAACCACTGATCTTGGTTAAGATTAAATGGGTCACAAATAACATGTTGTTACTTTTAATATGTTTCTTTAAATTTCTGCAAAATATATTATAGAAAAGTATAGATATATTTAGGGGAGATATCAAAAGACAGTGATGACATTCTTACATTGAAACGAAAAGAGTTGATTAACTTTTTTTTTTAAACTTAATATGGTCTAGCAGAAGAGAAGATGACAATTTGAATACAAACATTGCAGTGGAAATGGTCTAAACAAGCATTTTTCTCGTTGTTACTTTTACTATGTTTCTTTAAATTTCTGCAAAAAATATTATAGAAAAGTATAGCTATATTTAGGGGAGATATCAAAAGACAGCGATGACATTCTTACGTTGAAACTAAAAGAGTTGTTTAACTTTTTTTTTAAACTTAATATGGACTAGCAGAAGAGAAGATGACATTTTGAATACAAACATCACAGTGGAAATGGTCTAAACAAGCATTTTTCTGCCTTCTTTACCCTTTTCTAAGCGTTTCTTGCAGTTGCTTTCTTTGCACTTAGATCAGTGTTTGCTGTCGTTACCACATACATGTTGTAACTTAACCTTGCACTTCATTACTCACCAAAAGCAATCATTGCAAGCACAGCACAAACATTCTAATTTTTTAAAGGAAAATAAAAATATGATGTTTTTTATAACCAATAAATATACTTTCTGAGTACTTAGTAGTGTAGCTTCTGTAAATCAGCATTCATTTCCCTTAGGTCAAGGAGTTCTTTTGAGCCTAAGTTGCCTGCATTTTTCTAAAGACTTTTTAAAAACACAATTCAGTAGTACCGAAATGATTAAATGCTGCAGAAATCTACTACAGTTGATCTGTGGTTTATTAAAAGTATTAAAAAGTTTTCTGTATTGCATTATAACTTTGTTGAGGGAAACTATTTCTATGGCATCCCCAAAGTTGTCACTAGGACTTTGATTAGGCTTGTTTGAAATCACAGCGTAAGTTGAGAGTGTTGCATGTTCTTTGTTCTTGTTCCTTCTTATTCCTTGTTGTTTTCTCCTGACTTGTCTCATGGCACTGGGTAAACCACTTCACCCTCTTCCCATGGTTTTCTCACTGGAGTGCATGTTCTCTCTCCCCCTCTGTTTGTTTGGTGGGGTTTTTTCTTTTTTTTAATAAGTATTGTATGTGCCTTGGGCCAGGAACAGTCTTTCTGTTCCTGTGTATGTCCTATCATGGTAGAATGACCAATCTTGCTTAAAAACCTCTGGGTTCTACTGTAATACTAACGAAAATCATAAATAGTAAATAAAAACCCCATAAGCACTTTCTGGTTTACCACAAACAGCTTTTGTCCATAATATATACCTTCTTTTTTTTTTTTTTAATTAAAATATGTGAAGTCAAGATAAAAATCCCAGAGTACTCTGGTACAATTAAAAAATAAATTGGCTCTCAGGAAGAAACATTGTGCACTTGAGTCACTTGAAAGAAAAAAAAGTGGGTAGAAATGCTGTATTGCTGTCTAGATGGAAAACATGTCAAATATGCATGAAACTCTCGGCCCAGGGGGTGGGGAGGTTGAGAAATGGAATGCATTTTTTTTTTTATCAGCTAAAAGAGACCATTTGCTTTCAGCCTCACCTCTAATCCTGATAAAAGAGTTTATTGAACTCAGATGCTTTTCAAAG